CACAGATAGGCCACACCCCCAATTTCTAGCGACGATTTTTGAAAAAAAGGTGCCGCTTATCTGCTGGTTTTTACAGTATTTTGACACTTACTTTCATCTGTTCCCTCATTAAATTTCTTCTGGTTGATGATGGTATCAATAGCAATGGCAGTTTTACTAAAAATCAAGCAAAGCCAATCACATCAGCTCTATTCAGCAAAGTCTATATTCATATGTATATATATATCACTTTAACTAAACTATGTTATATTAGTGAGTAGATATCAAGTCGCATATTACATCTCCCTCAGTTTATAATGGTAATTGAACTGAGTGGAGTGCAATTTGGGCTGAAATCATACGCATGATTTTAAAATCGAACGAGCCCGCAGCGCAAGTTCGATTTAAAATCACAAGTACGATTTCAGACCAAAATTGCATGACACCAGGTTCAATTACCACTTTATTACATCCATTTTGAAATTGTCCAAATACAGGACTTAGTCAATTCAAATATTTGATTGATGTAGTGCAGAGCTGGTTTTTAAATAAAGAGCGGAACCGGACACCCTTTTACATCTTACTTTGTATGCAAAACAGAAAGACTTTTGAGGTCATGTCAAAAACTCAATCAAGCGTAAAATGATGCAATTTAGAGGAATAAATGGTGTGATTCATGAATAAATCGCACCAATTAAAGCCAATCAGATTACAGGGACCACCGTGATTTCAAAATGGATGTAATAAAACCAAAACTTGTGCTCCGTATACTAATGCAACTCAACCTCTCTTCCTCCACAAACCAGAACTATTAACCGAGTCCATCACTATTGCAAATTTCACTTAAAATAACATAAACATACCCCACACCCACGCTGACTAGTCATAATACAAAAGTAGCTTAACCTGGTTGAAAGCAATTTCCACCAAAAATTTTAAGTCAACTTACCCAGTCTGTCTGTCTCCAATGATCAGTTCTCGTTGTCCTCGTCCAATAGGTACTAAGCTGTCCACAGCCTTGATACCAGTCAACATAGGTTCATTTACAGAAGTGCGGGGAATGATACCAGGAGCTTTGATCCCTACACGAGCTCGTGTGGTGTTAGCCAGGGATCCCTTGCCATCAATTGGGTTACCCAAAGCATCCACCACTCTCCCTAACATTCCTTCCCCGACAGGCACATCTACAATAGCCCCTGTTCTCTTCACAACATCTCCTTCTTTAATAAGCTTGTCATTTCCAAACACCACCACACCAACATTGTCAGGTTCCAAGTTCAAAGCCATACCCTGCAAAGAATTTTAAAATCCAATTATTACCTATAAATGAATGAAATACCAGAGGTTCTCCTGTTTCAAAAGCATGTGAATGTACCATTTATATCATCTTGTGTTCAGATTTCAGTGACATCATTGCAAGAAGGGTTAACAAAAAGGCAGTAAATTGTTAACACTAACAAACATTACTATGGTTGAACCGAACCTTTTTTGAGAGGAGAATATTTCTTGTGATGAAAACTTGTTAATATATATTTTTGTCACAAGTTAAAGTTACTCTCTGCATGCTGAGTTCAAATCAACATGCAGCTGTCCTATGTATTCTGCAATCTTGAAATGTTTTTTTAAAATTGTCTTTGATTCAAATATGCAATCAACATGAAAATAACAGAGTAGTACATGCCGTGATGGTTGTTGGTGTAAACAAATCGATCTTCTCATATTAATAATAACTCTTGCTTGCTTTGTTCACTCATGAACCATAAAGTGATGTCAGGTCATCCACATATATTATGAAAGCTGATGATATATAATATTCAACAAGGCCTAACAAATTCATACTCCATTTTGAGCCATGAATAGAAATATATAAATATAAAAACTGTACACTGTAAATAAATAGTAATACAAGCATTAAAACTTCTTTTTATTTTTCTTTGTCAATTACTTCTTGTCATCGAAAGCAGCAGCAGCATTTTACCTTGAGACCACTTGAAAACTCTACCATCTCTTCTGCTTGAATATTTTTAAGGCCATAAACACGAGCAATACCATCACCGATGGACAGAACACGTCCAGTTTCTTCCAGCTCAGCCTTTGGTGCAGACCCTAAAATTCTTTGTTCCAAGATAGAAGACACTTCTGCCGTCCCTGAAACACAGAATTAATAGTGGGTTATATTGACAGGTTTTATCCAGTAAACACAAGTAATTTTGTGCATGATTCTGCGAAGAACATAACTCTATCCCATAGAATGCAATTGAATTAAGACTCACCCACCTCTTTGGAATTTCAAAAAGCATTTTACAAAATTGCATCTACACTGGTAAACAAACACAAATCATTACTAGCTAACTTACCACTACTTGCAAAGTGTGGACTTGAGGATGTTATGTTTCGTACAGCCACTGATACTGCACCTAGGGATCCATGATAAATCTAAAAACCAAAAACTTAATCAGAATTAAGCCTGGAACATTTTATGCAAATATTTGAACTTCAGTCTACAACAACCTTTTTATTGTGATTTGTACCCAAAACCATATTATTTTGATTGGCTACAAGTCTGCAGATAATTCTAACCGGTGCTGTTTTCAAGAGTTCTGATAGAGTGCATAGGTGCAGAGCCACAATTACGAAGTTTGTGAATCATTATCCTCTGGCTCATAATTTACAAACTTGTTGCCTTCTCCCAATATTAGCATCAGTAAACAGAAAGGAAAAAAAAAAAACAGGCAATCACCCAACTATACACCTTACATTCAAATTGTACAAAAACCACTTGTGACGAAAAATGCCCGAAACTCATCATAACAAATTTTGCACACTCAAAATTGTTTTTGCCATGGTAAATGGAGAAAGTTGAAAAGTTGGATTTAAGTCCTTCAACTATTCCAATAACCACCCAATAAACGAGGAGGTTACAATTAAGGCCACATCAAAATTGAAATCAATCGAGGAAGACTGGGCATATGTTCAAGTCTTGATGATTACAAACGGAATGCCGTAACATTATGCAAAGTATGTATGATACGCGATCCTTGCAGTAGAGAGCACTATTTATGCAATAGCGAAAATGGGACCTGAAAAAGATCAGGCCTGTACGGGATTCGAACCACTGACCTCTGCGATACTAGTGCAACGCTCTATAGTATAGTACAACGCTCTAGTATAGCAGAGGTCAGTGGTTTGAATCCCGTACAGGCCTGATCTTTTTCAGGTCTGATTTTCACTATTGCATAAATAGTGCTCTCTACTGCGAGGATCGCGCATCATACATGTCTATAACCGCAGTTCAAAATATATGAACTTTATATATTCATTGTATTATGCAAAGTAGATAAAATGTGGATTATAAAAGGCATGAAACTCAATCGTAGCTGTGCTAATAAGCGGGGTGGCTAACCAACGGTGAATAGGGCTCACAGCGTTATACGGTACACCCCTTACTGCACAGGGAACCCAGACAAGTGAAGAGTCTGGTTGTTTATTCAAAATATAAAGGAATGTATGGGAGAATATTGAAGAGTCTTATTATCGTAAACTTATATCATGAAATGTCCAAGTTAAAGCTCAAAATAAATGTAAACCTACCTCACTTGCTGTGTATTGTCGTTTCTGTGGCTCTAAACGGTGAATTTGCGCGATTTGGTGGGTTTTGCGTCAACTGTTACTATACGTTATAAGAAGGAGACAAAGGTGGAAAGCTCATTTTCGACCACTCTAGCGCAAAGCTGATTTTCACTCAGAAATAAGAATCGTGTGGCCTCCAAATCGAAAACCAGATAAACTGAAAGGTTGACGCTTCTTCTCGTCGCATTCAATCAAAGATCCATTCAAAATCCAAGCGCTAACCACCAAAAAATTTTCGAGAAATGCAGCTTTCAAAGAGATCAGCATCCGTGGCCCTGATTTCGTGTGCCAAGGAGCAACTGTCATGCTGATTGGATGATGCTAAACAATGCCCGATTACAAATGCCTCATGTGGGAGGGGAGTCATTGGCATATTCGCACCAGCGATTCATCTACTGACTGGCCTGGTGTGAGGTTTATGTCGTGTGACGGAAACCCGTCACGACCTCAACCCTCTGTTAATATGCCCCTGACTCCCCAATTTTTGCAGTTAGTGCTTGGATTTTGAATGGATCTTCAATTGAATGCGACAAGAAGATGCGTCAACCTTTCAGTTTATCTGGTTTTCGATTTGGAAGCCAGGCGATTCTTATTTCTGGGTGAAAATCGGCTTTGCGCTAGAGTGGTCGAAAATGAGCTTTCCACCTTTGTCTCCTTCTTATAACGTATAGTAATAGTTGACGCAAAACCCACCAAATCGCTCAAATTCGCCATTTAGAGCCACAGAAACAACAATACACAGCAAGTGAGGTAGGTTTACATTTATTTTGAGCTTTAACTCAGACATTTCATGATATAAGTTTGTGATAATAAGACTCTTCAATATTCTCCCATACATTCCTTTATATTCCGAATAAACAACCAGACTCGTCGCTTGTCTGGGCTCCCTGTGCTTACTGTAGACTGCAAAACCAATGATATTGAAATATGGAGGCAATCCATCGTTAGACTCGTGGACAACAGAAATTTCAGCTAGCAATGAGTAATTTTTTTAATCAATTTCTTCAAATAAGATTTCAAAAAGAGTTTTCCCTAAACTCTTTCTCATTTTACTAGAAAATTTGTAAACTCTTGATCACTAGATCCCTTGAACCACTAGGAGCCGATTCACGATGCAACCAGGCCGCGCTCACATTTCATGACTTTGGTTTGTCAATTACGACTAGGGAATGGACCTACAAATATAATTACATTACCTGGGGTGTTCTCCTTGCCAAACTTCTCGTTAAAATGGACGTGAGTCGAGAAGAAAGCATGATTGCAAAGTCTATTTTCCAGCAAACGTCCACGCCGCTTCCTCTGCCAGAGAGAAGGATATCGTATCACGTGACTCAAGTGGGAAGAGCGAAGGGAAACTTGGGTAAATTTTTGTTGACAACCGCTAGTACCCACTAGAGCCTGTGGTAGACACCCGGTAGATGTGAGTGCATTTCGTCTTTTCAGACGTCTGAGGAAGTATTCCAGTTTAAACAAAAGTGAGTTGATAATTAGGGATCGATGAAAAACAACTATTTTTCTGGTCCGTATCAGTGATGTACTCAGCATTTAAGATCAAAACGATCCCGCACTTTGCACGCGCCCTAAAAAAGGGAAGAGATGATTGGCCAAGCTAAAGAGCTGATTATTATTATTGTTGTTTATTACGCTATACTGAGATTATGTGACTTTCATCTTGTTACAGGATGTGGATAAGATTTCCGCATAGCCCCATACTACTGAAAAACAAAGCCGTAGTTCTAAAGGAAATTTATTGCTTTCGCCAAGAACTACATGCGTAATGAGGCATGTGGCTGTGCAAAAATCTTACCCAGAACGAGCACTAAATCAAAACATTGGACATATTGGGCTTTTTAAACCGTATCTAGTCATGTTAAATGTTTCTGTCAATCTGATTAGTTCTTTTACAACTTTTCTTTTTCAAACTTTAATAACCCAAGTTACAAAATGAAGGGCGGGGGTTGGGAGGCAGAGAGGTACAAAAATACTGTAGGCAGGAGAGTGTGGTACTGGAAGTGGGTAACCCCCCCTGTCCCACCCCCACTTCAGAATCTAGCAGACAATTTTCAGTCAGTTTGTAAATTCTTTAAGCATGTTGTGTTAGAGAGCTGCCACACCCAATATACTTACCTAGATACCCTATGTTCCTGTTATTTGTCGCGAGTGAGGAGCTGGCAGGGAAGATAATGAAACCTCCAGTGTACTGATGAAATTCTGAACCTTCCTCCATACAAAGAAAGATCAGTTTTATGGATGTAAATTGTCTTTTGGCTACCTTTTGCACAGATTGCAACTGTCAGTCTTAGAAAGGTGTCCAACTTAAACAATTTAAGGTAGTATCATCAGTTATTGAGAGATGAATGAATATGAACATGTGTATAACAAAGACACATCTGTTTCAAGTTTGTTTGAAGTTTTTACTCTAGGGGGAGCTTACAAATTGGAAAGGGTATATCAGTAAAAAACATCAGAACAGGAATCATTTGTCAATCAAACATTAAAGCTATTTGAAAAAGGTATTCTCTATTAGTCTTGATTTCAAACAAAATTTCAGATAATTGGATATACAATACCAAATTTTGTCTTGCCAATTATAATTCAACACCTACCCATCCCTCATGAAGTATTTTGCTACATTATAAAGTACTTTGGGATTATGCATTGGAGGTTTCTAGCTGTCTTTTGTTCATTTTCTGTAGAGTGAAGTTGTACTAAAATGATGATAAAATGGCATTGACTGTCTTTAGGAGAATTGCCTAACTTGTTGAGATGTCCATTTTGAGAAAATTAACTGTACACACTTTGATATGTCTAGAATTCTTGAAACTTGTCAACCACCTGCTGTATTTCTAGTACTTTGTTTATTGTAGATGCATTTTTAATGTATTGTACTGGGGCAATGCTTTGATTAAACTGAAACAATCTTTTTATATGGTCCTGTAAGCATGTAATTCTTTTATTGCAATTATTTATCAAGCTTCAAAACTAACTCTTTTTTTCCAGGACACACCTGTAACAAAAACCTAAGACCTCAGAGATGTCTGAAGTGACAGTCCTTGATTATGGAGCTGGAAATATTCAAAGTCTCATCAATGCTCTAAAACGTCTTGGTTACAATGTAAAATTTGTGAAGGATCCCAAGGATATCCTAAATGCAAAAAGGCTGATCTTCCCAGGTGTTGGAGCCTTTGGAAGTGCAATGGCTCTCCTTGAAAGCAGGGGTTATGTGGAACCACTTAAGATGTATGTCCAACAAGACAAGCCATATTTAGGAATTTGTCTAGGCCTTCAGACATTGTGTGATGGCAGTGAAGAGTCTCCAGGTACAAAAGGCTTATCTGTGATACCTGCTACTGTAATGCAATTCAATAAGGCTAAAGGTCTTGCTGTTCCACATATGGGCTGGAATGGACTGAAGCTTCATAAGGCATCAGCCCTGTTCCAAACTGGTTTCTCCAAGGAAGAAAAAGTCTACTTTGTCCACTCATATGCTTTATATTCACAAAGCAAGGAGATTGATGATTGGGTTCTTGCTACCACTGATTATGGAGAGGAGTTTGTCAGCATTGTGCAAAAGGGAAATATTGTTGCTACACAGTTCCACCCAGAGAAAAGTGGAGAAATAGGAATTAGTATAATCAAGAGCTTCTTGGAAAGTTTCCCAATCAGTGCAAAGCCTGCAAGGGTTCCTTACCAACTGCCCAATGCCAGTGAGCCAACACAACTTGGTCATCGCATCATTGCTTGTCTTGATGTCCGCAGTAATGATCAAGGTGACCTTGTAGTCACCAAAGGTGAACAATATGATGTGCGTGAACAATCTATTACAGAGAATATTCATTCTGTCACACAAAGTAAGGGTGCTGTGAGAAACCTTGGGAAACCTGTAGAGTTGGCACGTAGGTATTTCAAGGAAGGAGCAGATGAAATAGTATTTTTGAATATTACAAGCTTCAAAAACTGCCCTCTCCATGATATTCCAATGCTAGAGGTACTTAGGCAAGCATCTCAAAATATTTTTGTCCCGCTCACCATTGGGGGTGGTATTCGTGAGATACATGCCCCAAGCAAAGCTGGTGACCAAACTAAGATGAAGTGTTACTCTGCTGTGGAAGTGGCAGCTGAATACTTCAGATCTGGTAATTTTACCTAACTTTTCAGTGCTTAAAAGTGAGATTGGTACAGTAACTAGTTTTTAATGTTAGCTATTAATTATTGATTTCACCAAAGTCTCAGGTGGTGTAAGTGTATATCACAACTACAGTCAAATGTCTTTACAACAGCCAACCACAGACAGAACTATGTGCCAAGATCATTTTAAAGCTGACTAACTTTGATTATTATTTGATATGTTGCAAACAAGAAAATTATGGCTGTCAATATCAGATTCATACTAAGTTATGATTTTCATTGCTGATGGTCCTCTGAAGAGGGATGTACAGGTGGCCCTTAGGGGGAGGTTCAGGTGGAAATGACTTTTCAACAGCAGAGTTAAGGAATTAAGAAGTTAAAGTAACTTCCCACCCAAAATTTGCTATCTGTTGTCTCAGAATGCTCACATTTGTAAAGTGTTTTAACTCGTAAAGTGCTCCAGAAGGTATCCTCTTTAATGCAAGGTGACCGTACCTTTACCTTAGTTCCAACCTCTGGTTACATATCTACAGAAGACATCCTGTAAACGAGAATATTAGTCTCTTCCACCTTCATTGCTTGTTAAATTACTGGATCAAAACAGTGATTAACATAAGACTACTGTACTATTTTGACAGGAGCAGACAAGGTGTCCATCGGCAGTGATGCAGTGTATGCAGCTGAGAACTACATATCATCTGGTGGGATAGCAACTGGTCAAACCTCTATTGAAACAATAGCAGCTGCATATGGAAGTCAGGCAGTAGTTATCTCAGTTGACCCTAAGCGAGTTTTTGTTCCATCCCCGAAAGCTGTGCAACATCATGTGATTCATACAAACTACCCTGGTCCATCAGGAGAAGAATTCTGTTGGTACCAGTGCACAGTGAAAGGAGGGCGAGAGTTGCGAGGTATTGGAGTGTATGAAATGGTGCAGGCTTGTGAAGCCCTTGGTGCAGGAGAAATTATGCTTAACAGTATTGACAGGGATGGGTAAGTAACAAATTGAATTTAAATCAAGTCTCATATAATGTAACTTGAGATTCATAACATTATTGCAAAATAGTAGTCGAACCTTCATTTGGTGTAAAGCACTGCTTGGATATGAGGCTTACATTCAAGGACTCTGTGAGAGGATCTCTAGTAGCAATCAGGCTTTGGACACAAGGAAACTTTAGCAAATTTGTGAGAACAGTAGATTGAAAAGGGGCTAGCTTTCAATAAGTAACTCATGTCCATGCTTTGTTCATGTGGTATGAAAACCACTGTCAGTGACATAATTATTTTGATTGGCTGAAGTTGAGCAGGTGAAAATCTCAAAGTAAGCTGTGTTGACTTGAATTGACTCAATGCAGTCCTGGAAACAGTCTCAGGTAAATGTAGTATGATCAAGAAGCTGGTTCTGTTGACTAATCATTTTCTTTGAATTCATTTTGTTTAGAACTAATAGTGGTTATGATCTTGAACTGGTTACCATGGTTAAAGAAGCTGTTGGTATTCCAGTGATTGCTTCCAGTGGTGCTGGTAATGTTGATCACTTCTCTGACGTGTTCCAAGGTGCACATGCTGATGCAGCACTAGCAGCAGGAATATTTCACCGAAACACTGTTACAATCAGGGCTGTTAAAGAGCATTTGTTGAGTGAAGGGATCCCTGTCAGAGTCAACACAGACTGCTAAAAAAAAATTACCTTAAATTTACATTCAGACACCATCTGTGATAAAGTATCATAAATTTTTCTAAATAATAATCAGTCTCAGTTGAGGCTAGAAATAAGAACTCCCTGAAAAGACCTGTCTGCTGACATTTAAAGGATAGTTATAGTCAGGGCGAAGGGTTGAAAAATGTTCACTTTTAACCCTTGAACTCCCAGAAATGTTTAAGATGTAACTTATCAGTACAATATCCTTACATTACCCAACAAAAAGGTCATGAGAAAACTCACACTTAATAGGTAGAAGTTGCGATCTTGATCTATCACCAAATTTTCATAACATACGTGTAAGGAAATGTGTAGCATCTAGAGGGCAGAATAAAAATCACATCTTGGGAGTTCAAGGGTTAAAATAGTTTGGTTCTTGCTGACAAAAACAGCCATCTCACATTGAGCTTCCTATTTCATCATTGGAAAAGCAACCAAGATCGTAAGCCGCCTCTAAACTTCAATTCATGTGTGTTTTTCTGTTTTTCAAAGAACATGCTTTTAATTACTAAGGTTACAAACCTTCAGACATCCATTGGTGGCCCATGCAAGTTGTAATTAAAAATAATTTTCTTAAGCTACTGAGGATAAAGGTTATATAAAATGAAGAAGGTAGTAATATTCCTTCCTAAATTTATTTAAAGGATAGTTTGAGGAATTGTAAAATTGATACATGCATGAATGTCACATTATTCAACTGGGAAAGAAAGGGATGACAGAGAGTCTTTTTCTCAATTTTTGGTAAAACATGTTTGTTGACAGGGTAATTTTTACTTAATACCCCCATCTGAATTGTAAAAGTATTCTCATTGCTGAAGGACGACATTTAATGTCCATTGAGCATTGTAGCCTTAGATGTTGAGAATTAAGTGTCTGATCACTTTCCTCTGGCAGTCTGCTTTTGGAATATTACCGTGGGGTTTTTAATTAGCCTTTCACCCAATGAATATATCATTTGAGTAACCAATCACTCCCAAGTGATACTTTCAGCTCAGTTGTTTGCATTTGATCATACTAGTATTTACTGCATCGTATTTATTAAAAGATAATTTATAAGCAATGTCGTGTAAAGTACAAATACACTGGCTGTATGCAATACATTCTTGTTCCTTTCTGTCAACTTTCTGTGGTGTAGGTTATGTTCTAGCAGCCCTGTTCCAGGGGTTCGGTTGGTTAAATGAAGAGCAAATGTAAACAGTGTGAAAATAGTTCAGAGAAAAAAAAAAAAGAGGAAGGTCTACGTAAAGTTACTAACCTGACCCAAACCTCCCTTGTTATTTTACTCCACTCCTAACATCACACTATTTTGCTCATTAAACACCTGAACAGGCTAGGTTCTCACAAAAAGAAAAAAAAACATAGAAAGGTTGTAGTACTAAACAATCTTTATGCAATATATAAATGTTATTTATTAAATGAAGTGAAACCCTGAGTGACTGTGAATGTCACATTGTCCAATGGTATGGTTGTGTTGTGGTTAAAATATTTTCTTGGTTTAATCTTTTTCAAACTACCAGTAAGTCTTGGACCAAAAGACTGAGAAGTGAGTAACCTATGCATTTCACATAGTGTTGAGTTTGAAACAGAAAAAGACTTATGCAAATAAAAATAATAAAAAAAATAAAGTATTAGTACCTAAGAAAACAAGTTAATTTATTTGTAAGCCATTAATTTTGACAGGTGGTAATTTGCATACATCCCAGCCATTTTCCAAAAAAAAAAAAATAGGATCACAGGAGCAAAAACAGGAGGTTTATAGGATTTAAATCCCAAATATAGGAATTTTATAGGATGATTTTCAAGTAAACACAGATGCCACGATCTTGAAAAATAATGTCTCACCTTAATTCCAACTGTACTTTGTGCATTTACACGAGTTTGCAATTCACTCATTAACTAGATCAAAGGTTTACAAATATGAACAGCGTTTTTCAATGGTCACAGTGATCACTTAAAACTTTCAAAACTGAACCACCCACAATAACTTTAAAATAACTTAGATACACAATAGTCATATATCCAACGTGCAACTTTTTTGTAATGAGTACGAAAACACTTAAATATGAGTTCTATGAACCTTCGCTTGATGAATTGATTTATCTGTTCAAATCCCAGCAAAAATAAAGTTTTTAACAACAACAGCAAGATTGTTTTAACAATTTCTGTGAGTGATCAAATGAAGATGCCCTCGAACCTCACGTCTTCAAAAATGTAAATTCTCATGAAAACTGGATACAGATGTAGGAGCACATTCTGTCCACATCTTATTAACTTCACATAAAAACAAAACTACAACAGTGTACAATAAGTCTGTTAATCATTTTTAAGTCTTGAACTTATCATTTACGTTTTCTTTAATTTTGGCTTGCTAGGCTGTGACAGAAAGGTGTTTATGATGTTCTGTTTTCGTTTTGAAAGTGACTGCTGTTGCTCCCTTGTCTGCTGCATCGCTTTGTTAGCAAAACTGATCTTCTTTTCTGCAGCTTCAATCATGGCTTGAGCAACTGATACTTCTTTAAAATCTTTATTCCTCATGGCATCTTGCAACTTTGCATTTGTCTCCTTCAAGATTGTATCCCCAACTTGCATGCACTCTTGCTAAGCTGCTTCTTGCCTTTCTAACTCTTTCTCTTTGCTGTTTAGGTCTTTCTTTTCTTTGCCAAGTTGTTGTTTCTGTGCTTCCATCTTTGATTGACGCTTCACTTAGACGAACTCTGTCATCTGTAACAGTTTCTCCACTCTCTGAAAATCCCCTTTCAACCTCAGCATTACCATGTCCAAGAGAATAAGGGCTGTCTCCACAACCTTCATAATTGATGGAAATTTCTTTTCACCCATGACATCCTTCAGGTCATCAATCTTTCTCCAGAAGCGGTCAATGCGGATGAACTTCTGTGGCTCTTCAAATGCTTTATACCAATCTTCCGTTATGGTTTCTAGTTGATAGATTCTCCACTCATCAGTGGTAATTTGCTAACTAGATGCTTTGTTGCAGCTATGAGAAAAGATTTGGCTCCCAGGACAAACTTACTCTGTTTTTCTTCTGAAAACTTTCCAAGTTCTCTGTGGGTTTGTTGACCAATTCCCAATTCTTTGTATGCCAAATGGTTTTCAAAGACTTGCAAGTTGATTTTTGAAATTTCTTTGGCAGGCTTGTTTGCCAAAAGTTCTTTCCTGATGATAGCTGAATTATGATGGTAGCTGGGATGTATGAATTTGGTAACAGATGGGAACTTCTGTGATTATTATAAGTGGTGCATTTGAGGACATAGATGCTTTTTTCCTCCTGTTATTAGAATCAGAATATTTGTGAAAATCAAGTAATACACAAAAGTTCTAGGTGTCTGTTCTAGGAAGAAATGCATGGTACAAAGTGATTTGGTAATATCAACTAAGTTGAAATTGTAAATTGGCCACCATAAAGAGTTAAAAAGCTGATGTTTCGAGTGTTACCCCTTCATCATTCGCTCTGACGAAGGGCTAACGCTTGAAACATCAGCTTTTTGACTCTTTATGGTGGCCAATTGGCCAATTTACAATTTCAACTTAGTTGATATTACCAAATTACCCTGTTACCCCCACCAATGCAGCACCACAGTTTCTTTAGAAACTTACCCACTTTATCATATAAGGGGCAAAATTAATGAATTGTGATTGGTCGACACATTGGCATTTTTTTCTTAATTTTTGTAATTGCCCTGGGCAAAATTACTTGAAAATGATTGGCTGAAAATTGCTTAGCAACGGCTGCCAAGGTAAAGAAATTTCCGTTTGTTTTGTAACAATGGCATCCCGTTTTGCACGAGATCAGTAAGAAAACATTTTGCCCCTTATATTATAAACAAGTAATCACATGGTTTCTCGTAAAATTAAGGATTAATATCACGCGTGTTTTCGGAAGTTGCAGAAATTGCCCTTGCTGCTGCGCAACTCAGGCAATTTCAGCAACTCCCGAAAACACGCGTGATATTAATCTTTAATTTTACTCGGCCCCATGTGATTACCGATACTTATTCATGGTACAAAGTGCACTATTTTGATCTGACAGGGCAAGTATCTTCCACACAATCACATGTATTGTTCAGGATAATGCCTGGTCCATTGCATGCCATTTCAGGATGTGTAACCACAATCTGATTGTTTTTTTTTTGGTTTCAGCCCTTTGCCTACCTTAATCATGTAATAAAACTGAATTGTTACAATAGTCAAATGAACAGCAATAATATTATTGATTAAAATTGTGTAAACCAATTATCATTTATTATATCAAAGATTCTGGCAAGATAGTCACAGAAAGTAACAAATTGAATCTTAAATTTAAACAACTGTTGTGGTGTTGCTGTCAGTTGTCAGTTGACAAGCATCCATTGAAACAAAATTTATTTGAGTGACAAATTGGAATAGAATTATTATATCACCTACCACATTAAAATTTCAATAACATTTTAGATTATTTTTGTTATTAAATTTATATGAAACACTACTGCTATTATTAATAGTTAATTAAAAATTGCCTGCAACTTTCCATAGGTGTCTGGGGAAAATTTTTTCTTTACAGTCCAAGGACACATCATAACAGGTAGGTGTGCTAATATTACTTTTCAGTGTTAGTTATTCAGCATTCTTCACAGAAAACAAGCCATGCTGAAAATGTATGTCTTAAACGTGTCTCACAGAGGTTAACTGCTTCAAATTCAGGAAAACTACAGGAAAGAATTGCTTCTAATGCGATGACCATCTTGACTCTCATGGCTCATCGTATATCTTGACTTGTCACACTGCACAATAACTGACAAAGATGAGAGCACCCTCAGCCCTACAGAATTTACATGTCTGCCCTTTTAGAAAACCTTCATTAAAAGCTTTCCTTCCCATTTACTATTTGTGTGTGAGCAGGTGTTTCTAGTTCTCACAAAAGTTTGTTAGCAATTTTTGCATCCCGGCATTGTGGAATACAATAATTACTGAAACAATCGTCATCTATTCATATGCTTGTGTAACTTGCTTAAGTGATTAGCAGCTCTCTGTGTAACATTCAATGCTGCATGAATCGAATTTAAGCCAGGTTCCTGCATCAGTGTCATCCCACAAAGTCCAAAATATGTATGCAGAGCATCTGAAAAAGAAACAGTATGTTAGTCACAAATTTACAAAAGCCTCAAATAAATAGATACCCCAATTCTGTCTAATATATAAACCATGTGTCTTTCTTGGGGCTAAATTCAATTGTCTTACCAGGATGGTTACCAGGCCACTTGCTGAAGCCTCCTGTAATTGTTGCTTGGGCCGAAATAAGGTATTCACGATTGGCTGGGAAATCCACACATGAGAATGCACCAAGTAACTAAAAACACATACAAAGGAGGGTCTACTGTACATTACTCCATACATATATCTGAATTAAATGAATCACTAAGATAAGGAGGCTAATGACATTTTTCCACCAGATTCAAAGCGGGAGGACATTTGAGAGGGGAACCTTAGAAAGATCACAGCCATGCACCAGTAATAAACATATTTGTACCAAATCTAAATAATCCTACATACCTCCAGTGAAGCTCCAACCCAAAAAGAGTAACAAGTATCAACTGGTTTGTTAGGGCGTCCCTGGAAGCCTGACTTCTGGCGCACCAGACACCACCTCTTTATTTTTTCAAGTTCTTTGGCCTCGAAGGAGGAATTGAGCTGATTCATTAAGACGAGAGAAGCTAAAGCACAAAATGTGGACCCACCTTCAAAGCAATGACCAGAAGAATAGATTAATTAATATAATAGAAAAGATATTCATAATATGTCATCTCATTACATGGCCTATCTTATTATATCTCCCATCTAATAATTATGTGTGCCATGATTGATCAATTTAGCAGGCTGTATTTCACTGATCAGCCCACTAAATTCAAAGGTCTGTTTGAATTGAAATCTTCCCCCACCTATTTGAACTCAGAGATATGATAAATATCTTACTAACCCTGTGTTGTTGGCTCATATTGCAAGTTATTATGGGAGCTGTCTTTTTTCATTGTTATTTATGGTCTGCCTGGTTCTTCTTGTGCCATAAATAAGAATGGAAAAAACTTAGTCTGTAACTTACAGTACAGACCTCAAACTTGGCCAGTGAGAGGTATTTATCATTAACTTCTTATTGAAACTTAATTGAAAGTTTTTATTGACTGTAGCTTGCTTTAATTACTAGTACAAGGAGGGGGTAGAGGTGAAATTCCATTAACCCATACATTTGAAACTCATTACCCTTTTTGCAGAATTCTAACTTGTTGATAAGTTCATGATGGTAACCATCTTGGCCACAATTCCAGGTGACAACCCCAATAATTCCTGAACTCACCACATGTATATCACTTTTTACAGCACACATATACATTTAAAGGGATTAAAAATGTTTGAATTAGTTTCACGCCAGGAATACTCTTGACCCAGTTTGCAATATGGAGGGGTTGAAAGTTAGTTTGTGAATTATGTTAAATAAAATTGAAAGTTTTAAAAAGTGGAGGCCATAATTATATTGAATAACTCCTGACTAGTATAACTGACCATGAGCCTCCAAGCTAGGTCCTTGACCAAATCCAAAATCATAGGACTAAAGAGAAAAAAAAAGGAGAGAAGGTCACTTCTTTTGTGGAAGTTTTTTTAGTGGTAAGCAATGTTTATAATCTGTAGAAATAAGATGCTCAAAATAAGATTCTCGAAGTTCCAAGAAATGCGCAATATAATGGTTATTTTGAGTACAAACATTCATACCCTGCTTTCCTTGATGTACTGAACAACTCGAGGAATGTCCACTCCACTCCAGTCATTTAAAATGTAGCTAATACAACAGGCACAGTAGATAAACCTCATATCATTTTCACTACCATCCACTGTAGGCTGAAAGCTGTAAAACCATGTGGTATAAATCGAAAAAAAGGATTTAAGCCAACTGTACCACTGTCTATGCATACTTAATTGACCACTCCCCTCATCAGGGTTTTCAGGGCCAATATGAACAAATTGTAAACAAATATTGTGTTTAAAACTCCCAGACAGTGAAGCCTAGGAGTTGAGCTCAAGGCAACCAAGAACAAGTTCAGTTAGTAACAGGGTTATGAGTTTGAATTTCATTCAGAGAGGCTGACCCCAAATAAATCATAGATTTGATTTGAAAGAAGATACGTTTTCAAGTGAAAGCTCGCCAGGTTTATTCATTGGTGAAATGCTTTATTCCTTTTTTTCTGTCATGGTCACTCGTGGGAGTGAAAGAGTAAAATGACAAAGTTGTTCATCCACAGGTCTGTGTAATAATAATAATCATTCAACAGATCACTGACCTGCCATCAGGAAGCTGTAAAGCCTTCAGAGCTGCAATAACAGCCGGTCTATTCACTCTTGATAAATCATCTCCTAAAATAAGCAGGCTGGCCAGGGCTGTGTATGTCATAGCAATATGACTACAGTCATACTCACAAATATCCTTTAAATAAAAAAAAAACTTTACTTTTGCTGAAAGCAGATTGTCATTAAAATGAAAAAACAGAAAGAAACTTGATGATATTTGCATGTTATTTCCAACTACAAACAATTCATTTTGTAGCTCCCATGCAAAAAAAAAGCAAAAGGTATTTAAGTTTATGTCTTGAAAACAGATAGAACTTGTGTGCCCCAGTACCAACCAAAACCCTATTCAGTCAACTAAACACCCCATAAGCTATCCATCCCTGCAACCCAGCCACAGGCACTACCCCCCAAACCCAGCCTCAGCCCTGGCAACACACTGCTGCTGGAGTAAAAAACTGAACTTAGAGCAATAGAACCCAATCCAAAGGGAACTGACATGAAGAGGAACAAACACCTTACAGAATGCAAAATACAGAGAAGGAGACAATATTGAGCTTGTCTGATGGAACATGCATTATATGTAAGAGCCAAAATATTAAAGGACAGTCTGAACACCAAAAAGTGCATCAATAAAGGTTACCATCACACAATCACTGCACAAAGTGGCTCCTAGACATTAATTTCTTTAAGTTTAATTTTACCTTTGTCAATTCCCCTTAAGTGGAAATTGAAATTTATTTAGTTATGGCCACTAAGACCATCTACAACCTTGATTGGTATACACCTAGAGTGATCAGGTCCTAAATATGATTGTAACTATAACCTGCAAAGGAAAATGACTTTTTTGTTACTGAAGCCAAACTCAGAACTTCCTCGCAAGTCCACTTGTTACAAAGCCATATCTCTATGGAATTCTCTCAAAAATTGTACAAGACTAGTTCAATTGCAAACAGAAGCTTGTTTAAAAACATGCTTAAACATAGAATTTCATGTCAATAGCTCAGTATAATTATATATTTTTAAATAAGTTTTTCTACATTTTAATCATTTTAAGTTTTCTAATTTATTTTTAAATGGTACTTTTTAACTTTTTAAATACACCACCACATCAGCTCCGCCATAATTTTTAATATGCTTTTAAAAATTGTTGTTGTTGTTGTTGACTGAAAGTTCACCAAACCCCTCATATGCTCGTACACAAAACAAAAACAAAAACACTAGAAGTAATTGATGCCGAGTAGCTTTTTAATTTGTTTAAGTGGGAACAACAAAGCCACAACAAAAGAAGTCTGTCTGTTAACCAAAATGCAACAATTTATACTAGATACCTGTGAGAGTACTCTGTCACAGGCTGTTGTTGACGATCCTCGGAAACCACATCTTAATGTACTTGAATTACCTACAGCAAAATTTGTATAATAATTATAAATTTAAAAGCATTATCAGTGCTCAACACTAACTTTTCAACTCACTAGCCAAGTGGCTAGTGACAACTTAGATGTTACAACAATTTCAGTTTGTTTAGTAGCCAAAACTGAATTTCTACTGGTCTGTGGATAGTTGGCTACCATTAGTGTCAAGCCCTGATAATTACTCCAAATGCATTATAACTTGAAATAAATTATAACTCTAAATACATTATAACTCTAAATGCATTATAACTCTAAATGCATTATAACT